AGACAAACTAACACACACAAAAATTTCAAAAAGTGCACCGTGAAACAAAAAAATTGTCATCCCATTCATTTGCTATTTCCCATTTTAACTGTTCCATCATTCTCCTATGTTCTGTATCCCAACCTCCCCTTCTGTATTGTTATCGTTATTATTGTTTTGGCGTTGGCACCATGCTTTTCCGTAAACCGGTGTTAAATATATATATACCACGTTAGCCATTAATAAAATTTTGTGTTCTCTACACCACCGGGGATGCAAATGAAAGAGAAAATTCCAAAAAATGGCCTCCTCTACATTAATTTAGTTAATCAAAAGCGTTGCTGGTATTTCAGGTTGGCAATGCATTTGTCCTAACGCGCTGAGGTGCACTGCTTACAGAAGAAAACCAGCGATGCAACCAGTGCAATCAAGGTCAACCGGCGAACACCCGAGATAAGATTGAATTTCAGACAATTCGCAACTTTGAGTATCATTCAACAGATTGGATACTGCCAGAGTTTGAGCAATATACATGACTGGCGAGACCCATATTTGTTTTCTCAGGTTAGAATCAGTGTGCCCAATACAGATATTCCACGTGATTCAACCGTCTTGGTCCAGTGAAAGACCATGACAAAACATGCGTTAGTTGACTTAGGTGGAGAAAAGTTACATCAACTAACAAACCGGTCCTTCATCTATATATACACCAGTAACATCGTCCTCAGATTACTGACCTCAAACCCAACCAATGGCTATCACTGTAAGACCATGACTAGGAACTCTGGGGAAAACCTGTCTGCATAACGACCTGCTCTACGAAACTCCAATCAAAATTTCGCAGAATATATTGGACATCTTTTATGACAGAAAAACTATCATGTACTTCATCTTCAACTAGGGTGGGCATGTAGTAGTCGGAACGAGGGTGTCAAAGGCAAGTGAGCACAAACGCAACTCTCGTGAAAAGCTCTATGGTGAAACCATGCCACTGGATTAGAAACCAGATGCCAAAATTCAAACAATATGCGTTGCTCCATGTTTTTGTAAATTGGAAGCAGTTTGTGTGTGTTGCATAGTGAAGGTACACGGGAACACATTATTTGATAATGTTGGGGTAGTCACAATCCGATCGTCAGAACACAATAACAGATAAAAACTTTGTCAAAAGTGAAAAAGAAGACTAAATTTTTCCTCTGGTCCTGATCGGTTATCCTCAGTGGTCCTAAAAGCATGCGCAAACAGCCTCGCACGACCCTTTTCATTCATCTTTAATACATCTGTCAGAAGAAGATTGTTTAACACATGGCGTGATATTCGCATCACTCCAGTACCTAACAACGAAAAGGGTAAGTTTCGGCCTAATGCTTCATCTTCAGTAATACTTAAGACGCTTGAGCGAATCATTATTAAGCATCTATCCTCTAATTTGAATTTTCGTGATTCCAATCAGTTTGCTTATTGTAAGCGTTGCTCGACTTGAGATGCGGTTGCCTGCCCTATACATTCTGTTTTATCCACTATGGACTAAAAACAACTTGTTCATACGCTTAACTCTGTTAACAGAAACATCCTATTGTCACTATTACGGAAGTATAATCTCCCGTCACATCTTTTAAATTGGATGCACGACCATTTTACCGACCGATGCCAATTCACTTGTTTCAATGGTATTAGGTCTTCCACTGTTACTGTAAACCAAGGTGTAACGCAGGGTGCAATTTTATCTCCTTCTACATCCAAAACTTGCCAGTCACCTCAAATGTCTTCACATTTAAATATGCCGATGATATAGTAGTTGGTGGTGCATCTCAAAACAACAACCAATCAATGAACCCTCTTTAATCAGCCATGAGTTCCATTTCTGAATGGTCCGATGGTGTTAATCTTTCTTTAAACCCGAAAAAATGCATTGAAGTTTTGTCTGTTCCCAACAGCTTAATCAATAACATAAAAGTTGAAAGGTCGCAACACTTCAAATATCTTGAATGTTTCCTGTCTGCTGACTTCAAATGGTCCTATTACGTAGAACAAACATTTCTTAAAGTCAAAAAGTTGACCTTTTATATTTCACGCCTTCGACATCGGAGGATGCCATTGTACATTATCTTTAAATTTATTTTCTAGTGCATTTTATGCCATTGGACCTACTGCTATCCCGTTATCTCTTTCGGTCTACTATCTAAGGATTTCATATTGATTAGACGCTCTCTGGAAAGCATCTCTAGATATGGAGCTGTATCTCATGAGGAGCTGGTCGATTCCATTGTCAACCAACACCTCAAGGCGTGTGACCGTCTGTGTGACTAACTTGTCCGATGCATCACATCCTTTACACTCAGCCCTATCTTGCTCCATTTTAACTTCTATCACCCACAATAAACTTAATCGAATTCAAACCACGAAAGTTCAAAAGCACGCTCTTGACCAAAGACAACGGTTTATCAGCGACTCATCACAACCGCTTCAACGACATTTGGTACCTNAATATTGACACACTGAGTTAATCATGCAATGACAGCAAAACGCCGACTACTTGACACTGCTAAACGTGTTCCCTATTAACTCCGGGATTTAGTCCAGTGATTAGCAGTCTTAAGTTTGTACGTGCGAACTTCCAACGTCCGCACTGCTTATTTGCTCATGTGAAGATCGCATCGCGACCTGAAACTAAGCCTATTCATTCCATTCTTTTCACTCAGCCACATCTGGTCAAGTGCAGTTCAAGACCCTGTGTCTCAGCCTGGTTCGGGTTTCTCACGTTCGCTGTTGATCCGTCGTCTGTCTAGCGCTTTTTACTCGTTGTCCCTCACTGATAGTGTACTGCTGTGATCGCTGTGCCCTTGGCCGAGCCATAGTAATGATCCAAAATCGATTGTCTTTTAGATCGCTTTTCGGTGACTTCATATTGTGATGGAAGGCAGTTCAAAGAGAGTCCTGGCTAGCGACCGAAGCAAGAATGGGGCCCATCCGACCAGACGCACAGA